GGCCTCCGCCTTCCAGCCGGCCGGGGCCGGGCCGGGCTCGCGGGACCTGCAGCGCTTCTCGGCCCGCGCGGAGGCGGCGGAGGAGCTGGCGCGGCCGCTGTACGAAAAGCCGCCTCCGGAGTCGCGGGCGCCCGGGGAGTGGGGCAAGGCGGCGCGCCTGCAGCTGAGCACGGGGGAGAAGAAGCGGGAGGAGGAGCTGGTGGAGAAGTACGCCATCAACATCCACACCAGCGACAGGATCTCCCTGCACCGCCACATCCAGGACCGGCGCATGGCGGAGTGCAGGTCCCAAACCTTTGCCTACCGGAGCCTCCCCACCACCTCTGTGGTCATTGCTTTCTACAACGAGGCCTGGTCCACCCTGCTCCGCACCGTGCACAGCGTGCTGGAGACCTCCCCTGCCGTGCTGCTCAAGGAGATCATCCTGGTGGATGACCTGAGCGACAAAGTGTACCTGAAGGCCGACCTGGAGAAGTACATCAGCACCCTGCAGAGGGTGCGCCTGATCCGCACCAACAAGCGGGAAGGACTGGTTCGTGCCCGCCTAATCGGCGCCACCTTCGCAACCGGCGACGTCCTCACATTCCTTGACTGTCACTGCGAGTGCGTCTCCGGCTGGCTGGAGCCGCTGTTGCAGAGGATCGCCGAGAATGAGACTGTGGTCATTTGTCCCGTCATCGATACCATCGACTGGAACACGTTCGAGTTCTACATGCAAACGGGGGAGCCGATGATTGGGGGCTTCGACTGGCGGCTGACGTTTCAGTGGCACTCAGTGCCCGAGCACGAACGGCAGAGGCGGAAATCAAAAATCGACCCGATTAGATCGCCGACCATGGCTGGTGGGTTGTTTGCGGTCAGTAAGAAGTATTTTGAGTACCTTGGTACCTATGACATGGGAATGGATGTCTGGGGTGGGGAAAACTTGGAGCTGTCATTCCGGGTGTGGCAGTGTGGAGGCATGTTGGAGATCCACCCCTGTTCCCATGTAGGCCACGTGTTTCCAAAGCGTGCTCCATATGCCAGACCAAATTTCCTTCAAAACACGGCACGTGCTGCTGAGGTATGGATGGATGAGTACAAGGAGCATTTTTATAACAGAAACCCTCCCGCCAAGAAAGAGAGCTATGGAGATCTTTCTGAAAGAAAGCTACTAAGAAAACGTCTGAAATGTAAGAGCTTTGACTGGTATTTGAAAAACATATTTTCTAACTTACACGTGCCAGAGGATCGTCCTGGCTGGCATGGGGCCATCCACAGCATGGGTATATCTTCTGAATGTCTAGATTACAATTCACCCGAGCATAATCCTACTGGGGCTCACGTCTCTCTCTTTGGATGTCACGGTCAAGGAGGTAACCAATTCTTTGAATATACATCAAACAAAGAAATTAGGTTTAACTCTGTGACTGAACTGTGCGCTGAAGTCCCTGATCAACAAGATTTCGTTGGTATGAAGAACTGCCCAAAGGATGGATCCCCTATTCCAGAAAATATGATATGGTATTTCAGAGAAGATGGGACTGTTTATCATCCTCATTCAGGAAAGTGCCTTAGTGCTTATCGTACTTCTGAGGGTCGGCCTGATGTACAGATGAGAACTTGTAATGCTTCAGATAAAAATCAAGTTTGGAAGTTTGAGAAATAAAATGATCATCACTGGCGCAATCTCTGTACCTGGACAATAACCTGCAAAGCATCAGAGTATGCTTGTAGATGGCAATAACTTATCATGCACTAAATGAATATCTTCTGAAGAGTTTTCTTTATATGAGTTAAAGATCTGCATTTCCTTTATCGAAGTGTACAAAATATGGGTGGCAATTACCGGGACACAAACATTCCTTTAGTTATGGTTTAAGTTTTTATTATTTATGTAGCATTTTGATTCGTTGTTTCTTCTAGTTCATATCTTTCATTGGTGTGGGGACAGAGATAATAGTATGTTTCAGACCGGGAGTGACCAGCGTGCAGTGCCATTTGTGGCATGTGTACCAGCAGCCTTCATGTCTCACATACAGCAGATTAGGAAGAGGAGAAAGTAGCACAGCAGCAGATAAAACAGAAAGCGGACTAGCAGATCAGGTGAAGAAAACAAGGTGGAGAGCAGAACAGCAGACTGGGCAGAGGAAAGGGATGGAAATGCTACTTGGGGAACACGTGGGGCTAATATATGACACATCTTCCAGAAAGGTTGGCCTCCACTCTTTTAGACTGAGCAGTTCTTATGTTTGAATATTAAAATGCCTTTTACATTTAATTTTAAGGGTAAAAGTGTAAATCTACAGAAATAAAGGCTAGTGCTCTCACAGCCATATTGTCTGCTGTGTTGCAGATGTAGTCTAATGTATAAGTTAACAGTGTAAAGGCTCCACAGTAGTAAGTGCCTGAGTTAATGTTGTGCAAAGTGGAACCTTAACCCTTACAACATGGGTCTAATCCTCCAGGTGTTTACTTTTGCTTGGTGGGGGGGCAGGGGCAGGAAGGAAGGCTTCTTGCTACTGGGAAGGAGGAAACATTAGGATTTGCCCCAGATGCTTTACTTTTGACATAAACACCCTTTCAGTCTGGCTTAGTTAGAAAGTTTTCAGAAGGATAGATAGCAAAGCACCATGATGGACTTGGCAGTGATCCACTACAGGTGATGGAGCCAAGGAGATCTTCCAGCAGGAAGAAGAGATTGACCAGGTGGTGGGGGTACAAAGGAAGTGATGGTTAGTCTTAAACTTATTAAGATATATTGAGAGCATAGCAGTGGAGAGAAAATGATATGCTTAATTTGCCTGAGCGAGGTTGACATACTGACTTCTGGCTCCAGGTTTAGAATGCTTTAGGACTCCTATGTGCTTCCTTAGTGCCCTAAGAATGAGCTGCTACTGTGTTTGTTGACACTTTGTATTAAGTTTATCATTATGCTTATGTAGTTTTCTGCATTCTTCCTGTTTAAGGACTAGGCAATATTTTACAGACCAATATACTAGATTGTGAATGCAAGGGGTCCTGTGTTGGTTCTTTGAAAAATAATACTGATGTGATTATAGAAAACAGGTGGGTGATCATTTATACTTTAAAACTTTAAAAAGGTATGGTGCCAGTTCCCAAGTGTGTTTGAGTCCTTAGCGTGATTGTTTGAGGCATTCCCCTATGCATTTGATGCATATAAGATTTTGTTGTTCTTCTGTATTCATCTTATGATGGATGTTTGTTTAGCCATCCCAAACTAAATTTTGATCTTTACTGATAAGTTTTATTTTTGAGCTAGAGAACAATAAGAAAGGGGTGGGTTCTCTGAAGCCGGGGTTGGGTGGGAAGGAAAGATGACCACTGGACTGGGAAGAGTGAGACATCAATGGAGTAGAGACTTAATTAGAAAGAAAGAGGCAAAAAACCAAAAGTATGAAAAGTTGGAGGGAGACAGCTGGCTAGCAAATTAGACAGCAGTTTGTGGAGTTGGGTAGGAAAAGGGAACAAGAGAAGATTCTGAGTCTGGGGCCTAATGTTGAACCATACTGAAAACTCCTTGCCACCTGGACATTTATAAGTTGATTTATTTCAAAACAGGTTAGTTTGGGATTTGATTTGTATAAACAGATTCTAAATAAGGGAATTGAATAAGGATTCATTTATAGATCTAAGAGCTGTGCCTTATTGACCCTACTCTGTGAGGCAGTGCTGCTTGATTAAACTGGGGAAACAAGTTGTGTATGTTCTGGCCCTTGTGAAAGCCTTACTGGCAGTTGCTAAACTTTTCAGTATGTATCATTCCAAATGGAATCCTATAGGCATCTACCCTGTATGCTGTGCATACTTGCCTTTATAGGGAGTAATGCAATACTGTGAATACAGACTATGCAAGTTTTATTTAATACCAGCATTTTCTACTTAGCAAATATTATTTTCCTTATGGATGAATATTTGCATGCCAAATTTTAAAGTTTTAAAAGTTAGTTGGTTAGCTTTTTGTGCAAAAAATTAGAGTAGACAGACTTAAAATATGAACTTTTTTCAATGCACTTAACTAAAAATGGGCTCGGTTGGGTTTCTTAGTTTTCTGTTTAAATCACTGTGGGCTAAGAGCAAGACTGGAACGTTTCTTCCTGAGAGAAGAAACAGTCTTTAAGAAAATAAGTATCTGATAACTGCAATAGGGACTTGGAATGGCAATCTCAACTTTAATTGTAGCAATGCTACAGCACTGTTTTAATTAATTTTAGAAAATAAAATTCCACTGGGCACAGGTTTCTGGAAAATCTGGTACTCTATTAAAAAAAAAAAAAAAAAAGGTATATATTTTTTCAATCTCTTATAGTTCTATGACAGTGTGGGGGGAATTACTGTATATGGATTTATACTACTGATTTTTAAATTACTATTTTAAAATAAACTGTACATTTTAACATTGAATAAATATAATCTGTTTTCTGAAAAGTAGAAATTAAAGACAACTGAACATTTAGTTGCCTGGCCTTTTGGTTCTTCACTTTATTTTGCTTAGATACGGTGTAATGCAATGGAGCCAAACCTTTCCAGCCGTGTGGACTCTATGGACATTTGTATAAATGGCCTGAGAAAATGGCAGCGGTGCGCTTTTGAATTAAAACACATCAAAGGTGTTTTAGTTCATAAGTGCACCACCACCATTTTTTCAGTGTTGATGCGCATTTTGCAATTTATACAGATGCATGTGATGCAGCGCCAGGTGCGTTAGTTTGCATGCTCTGCAGACTCGATTAATAGTTTGCTCAAACATGCTGGATTTCTGGTATGTCGGAGCAGACAAATGTATGCATATAAATGCTCAATAAGTGGTGTGGTGTCCATTCTCTGGCTGGAACCAGTGCATGAGATCAATCTACGGGTCAGACCCAACGTGGGGTCAGTGCATGGGTATGATCTGGTGCGTCCCCTAGCCTGGCCCCGTGTGTGTGCCGAATTGGGTCTGCTGGTCTGAACCAGCACACGGGGCCATGTCATCGGGCCCATAGGGCTCACAAATTTGGCAGCATTAATTGCTACTGGTTGTCTACCACCAAATTTCTGGACTTGCAGGGAGCTTGTGCAGCTCCATGGGCTGGATCTGGCACATGGGCCATAACTTGAGGGTAATACTATTAAACGTTTATGAGAATTCCTGTTTTGGAGGGACCAGCCAATCATAATCACACCTGTGGTGCAGGACCAACTGGAGAATGGCACTGCTTCTTAGCTTCATGTGCCTGGCCGCATTGCTATGCTACCAAGACTCTGGATAGATGTGGCTGTTTAAAATGTACCCATTTATTTTTAATGCCAGTGTTTTTCGTTTACACTGCAATTCCTGCTGTTACAGGTGATACAGCTACAATGTGGTAGACTTTTGGATATGTTTTAGCATTGAGTAGATGGGACCAAATGATGAGGTTAACTGTATTAATTCCCACCTGGCCTTGTTAATCATATAACACTGTTGTTGTAGTATCTTTGGCATAGAAGTATTCTAGAGTCTTACTTACTTTAGAAGGAATTTTACATGTGATAAATATGGCCAATATGTTAATATTTCGGAAATAGCTTTCATAGATTTCGAGGGTCTGAAGGGACCTATTAGATCATCAAGTCTGACCCCCTGCTCTGGGCAGGAAAAAGCACTGGGGTCAAGTGACCCCAGTCAAGTGCTTGTCTAGCCTCCTCTTGAACACCTCCAGGGTTGGGGAAAGAACCGCCTCCCTTGGAACCCCTTTCCATATTTTGGCAATCCTTACCATAAAGAATTTCTTCCTGATGTCCAATCTAAATCTAGTCTCCTTCAGTTTATGGCTATTGTGTCTAGTGACCCTGAGGTGTGCCCAGGTAAACAGAATATCCCTTATTCCCTGCTGACCCCCGTGATGAGTTTGTAGTCAGCCACAAGATCACCTCTCAGCCTTCTCTTCCAGGGGCTGAAGAGATTCAGGTTCCTTAGTCTGTCTTCATAGGGTCTTACCTGCAGGCCCTCAGTCATACAAGTAGCCCCCTCTGAACCCTTTCCAGGTTATCCGTATCCCTCTTGAAGTGAGACACCCAAAACTGGATGTAGTACTCCAATTGTGGCCTCACCAGTGCCGTGTAGTAGGGAAGAATCACATCCCTAGACCTGCTTGTGGTGCACCTGGTAATGCAAGACAGAGTATTAGCCTTATTACCTTGTCAAATTGGCGACTCATGTTCATTTTTGTGTCGACTATGACTCTGAGATCCTTTTCCACTGTGGTGCTACATGGAATGGTGCTTCCCAGTCTGTAGGTGTATTGGTGATTCTTTCTCCTCAGGTGCAGCACTTTGCACTTATCTTTGTTAAATTGCATCCTATTCTGATCCGCCCACTTACCCAGTCTATCCAAATCTGCCTGTATACCCCATAGTTTGGTGTTGTCTGCCAATTTGGACAGAGTGCTTTCTACACCCACCAGATCGCTGATGAAAATATTGAACAGTACTGGTCCAAGGACCAAGCCTTGGCGGACACCACTGCCTACATCTCTCCAGGTAGAAACCGACCCATCCACCATCATTCTCTGGGTGTGTCCCATGAGCCAGTTTTCCACCCACCAGACTGAAAAAATCCATGTCGCAGCTACTTGGTTTACTTGTAAGAATTGGGTGCAATACTGTGTCAAAAGCCTTTTTAAAATCCAAGTAAATAACATCTACCTCTGCTCCTGCATCTAAGCACTTTATTAAGGACCACGCACCAAGTTAGTCGGTCAGGATCTGCCTGCTGTAAACCCATGCTGGTTGCTCCTTAACATTGTATTGCCTGTTGTCCCCCACAAATGTGATTCTTAATGATTTTTAGAGGTGAGGCTAACAGGCCTATAATTACCTGGGTCCTCCTTCCTCCCCTTGAAAATAGGGACCACGCTGGCCCCTTTCCAGTCATCTGGGACTTGCCCTGAGTGCCATGAGCTCTCAAACGGTTGTGCCAGTGGTTTTGCTGTGACACCAGCTAATTCCTTTAGTATCTGTGGGTGAAGATCATTGGGGCCTGCCAACTTAAATACATCCAACCCCTCCAAGTGCCCCTTTTACTAGGTCAGTGCTAATCATTGGTGGATTGGTTTCTCTCTCAAGCCAGACTAAAATCTCATTGGGAGGTGTGTTTGTATCTGTGTCCAGAAACACAGGTGCCAAGAAATCATTTAAGAGCTCAGCTTTGTCCATCTTATCTGTTACGAGTTGCCCTAGTCTGTCCTGTAGCGGCTCTATACTACCCTGCGCCGCCGCCTTGTTCCCTATGTACTTAAAGAAGGACTTTTCGTTACCCTTAATCTTTGTTGCCAGCCTGAGTTCCGTTTCTGCTTTGGCCTTCTTTGCTGCTTCCCTGCAAGCGTGAGCCAAGCGAGTATACTCCTTGGTGGCTGCCCCCTGCTTCCACTGCTTGCAAACCTCTCTTTTCCCTTGTAAGAATTGGGTGCGATACTGTGTCAAAATCTCCTGGATTTCCCTGCTTAGGGTTTCTTGGCTCTTTTGCCTCCCTTTATGTGTACTGGGGTGGTTCCCTTTTGTGCCTGCAGGATCAGTCCCTTGAGGAACTCCCACCCTTCCTGGACTCCCAGCTCACCAATGTTATTACCCCTCAGTCCCACTCTTAACTACTGTCCTGAGCTCATTGAAATTGGACTTCCGGAAGTCTGGCACTTTTGCCCTACTTGTTATCTTTCCCACCTTACGCCGGATAGTGAATCCTATCAACGGGTGGTCACTATCTCTTAGGTTACCCTGTACCTGCAGATCCCCAACCAAGTCCTCCCCTGTCGCCAGCACCAAGTCAAGTAAGGTGTTTCCCCTAGCGGGACTGCATACCTCCTGTGTTAGTTGCAGGTCCTGGATGCAGGTTAGGAACCTGTATGAATGGACAGACCTGGCTGACTGTTACTAAAATCAGTAGTATGAAAAGCAAAGAAAGAAAGAAAAACGTATATACTTCTATAAGCAAGTCTGGAAGCCTTTGTTACCAAGAAACTATCTCTGTTTTTACAAATCCTTTTACAAACACATGCAGGACCACAATGTATTGCAGTGTCTTATCCTTTGCTAGAAATATCCTTCTGTTCTTAAGTATCCGGTTCTCTTGTCAATGATATCCAGAAAAGAAAAGTATAGAGGTAAAATACCTATTGTTAATGGCTTGTAAGCATTGTTGTTGCTTGCATTTTATTTGTATTTATTTTTACTATTATCAATTGTATTACGACGGGTTTATGGAAGGTTAAGTTTAGGAACTATTTTAAAACGCTGGTTTAGTGTAGTTCAGTCCTTTAACCAGAATCTTGTTCGATTATGGGATCCTTTCAGCATTTTCTGTGAGTAATATGAACATTAATTCTATCCAAAACCTATTCTTTGAACCCATCTACTATTCTTAGAGGTTCTAACAAGGCAACAGACATTGGTTATTTGAAAAGCAAATAGCATAACAAGAGATGTGGACTGGAAAATTTTCCAGTGCTTTATTTTTCCGTGGGAAATTCTCCATTTCTAAAAATTCATTGTTTCATTAAATTCATTAGGAACAACAAATGGATGCCAATACAATATTAGGTAAGCTTGGCAGTTTCAGAGTTGTAATTAATGTTTTCCAAGTGATTATCCCTAGGAAGTGTGAGAGAGAGTACATAAATGTTTTATTGATTTGTAATCACATAATAATCCAAACCAAAAATCAAGTTATTAATTCACCTAATTGGCTGTTTAGGTCAAATCAAAACCAAAGCAAAAATTCTTACTTCATTTCAGACTGCAAGTATAAGCAAAATCGAAACTAAAACTGTGATTAATTTTTGTTTCACTTTTAGTTCAGCAAATACACAGAGCAGTATCTCTCATTTGTTTTCTTGAGTTAGTGAAGTTGGAAGTGTTTGCATAAGATCTGTTAGTTTTTTAGTGCTTGTGGTTTGAAGTAGTCATAATAATGCCCAATCAGAAAACTAGTGTGTGGCATCATTATAGTGAAGTTCAAGCCACTGCAGGAAGGAAGAAAGTTGGTAGGTGTAAATATTGTGGGCAGGAGTACACTAACAACGCAACAAGAATGAAGAAACATTTAATAACTTGTAGAAAATGCCCTGAAAGAGTACAAGCCGTATATAGAAATGTAATACAACCAAGTGGTGGAACAACATCATCTGAGAAAAGTCTACTTCAGGAATCCTATGTAAGTAAACAAATTAATATGTTAAACAACACAGCATAAACTAGCATCTATATTGTTTTAAAACACTATAATTTTAAAAGTTGTTAATGCAACTCTGGACTATTATTTATTTATTTATTTATTTAAAATATTTGTATCCTGCCTTTGGGTGCTTAGTGCAAGCAGAAAAGTGGCTTAGGCTTCACAATACATGTTTTTAAAAATTACATAATATATAAATAGTTAATTATTTAAAACCAGCAAAGTGAGCTTAGTCTTCTGGCTGATGGCAGAGGCCTGACAGT